CCCCGTATCGGAGGCGCGAGAGGGGCCGGGTTTATCCCACCACCAAGAAAGAGACCGTGGTGGGAGGGAGCGACAGAGGAAACACCTGGGGTTATCCTGACAATCTGCAGGAGGAGCAGAGGAAGAGAGAGGGTGGGCAGAGGTGCGAGCTGGCAGGCGGTGGTCCAGAAAACTGCACTGGGAAAGGGTTTCTGGCCCCTCAGCCCCACGGGACGTAGACTTGAGGGGCTGAATCCCGGGACACACCACGCACCCGCAGCTCCCATGGCAGCCGGCCGTGCTGGAAGACGTTCCAGCTTCTCCCCCAGGATCACGGCTCGGCAGAGGGCTCAGAAGCGGAGCTGGTAGGGGCTGGCAGGGATGCCGAAGGAAGCACCACCCATGGTGGTGGGCCCCAGCTGCTCTGTGGATGTGCACCGAGGCCGGAGGAACCAAGCAGCAGCCAGGGGCCACCGGGGCTTCCCAGACACTTTGCAGCTGGACTGTCCCTGGCCCCGTGCTGGCCAGACCATGCACAGCCCTGCACCACCCCGGCTGCACGGCTCCTCGGGAAGGGAAGGGGCACGTGCTCCAGACCCAGTGCAGCGCTAGAGGCATTTGACACGCTGCAGGTTGGTCTCCCTCCACGGAGGGACCCTCTTTTCCCCAGTGCACGGGGAAGAGCTCTGTGCTCTCACTTAAACCACACTGAGTCGGGAGCCCTCAAGACGCCCGGGTTGGACCTGCTGGCTGCTCTGCTCGACGTGCAGGGCACCGCAGCCAGGAAAGGGGTCACCACAGAGGCTCCAGGACGTGCCAACATCCAGGAGCATTTTTCACGTTGCAAGAGCTCGTTTCACTTTTCCCCAGTGCACGGGGAAGAGCTCTGTGCTCTCACTTAAACCACACTGAGTCGGGAGCCCTCAAGACGCCCGGGTTGGACCTGCTGGCTGCTCTGCTCGACGTGCAGGGCACCGCAGCCAGGAAAGGGGTCACCACAGAGGCTCCAGGACGTGCCAACATCCAGGAGCATTTTTCACGTTGCAAGAGCTCGTTTCAGCCCAGGTCTGAACCATGGCTGCCGGCAGGGGTATCTCGGGGGCACTTGGCG